CCCGGACCCGGCCCCGACCCCGCAGGAAGCGGTCGAACTCCGAGGCGACCCCGAGGCGCCGGCTGCGTCCTCGCCGCTGCCTCGCCTCTGCTTTTCGGCTCCGACATGGAAGATGGATCTTCTAATAGTACTAGCTGCTTCCGAAGGCTGACCGAGTGTTTCCTGAGCCCCAGTAAGTGGCCTGGACCCTCGTTGCCGTGGGGGTCGGCGGCCAGGGGTCTCGGACCATCGGGAGGGAAGGGAGCTACAGAAGTGGGTGGCGGTCAAGGTGTGTAGATAGGGGCGGTCAGCGTTCGGCCAGCTTCCCTGGAAGGGCAGGAAGCTGGTGGCACCTTGGTGGCGCGCGGGAGCGTCCGTTAGCGCAGGAACGCCGGGCTTTCCCAGGTTCTGCGCGCGCGGAGGAAGACTTATTGGGGGTGGTGGGAGCAGGGCGTGTAAATGGGACCTTCAGCCCGTCCCGGGACCCCCGGGCTTTTTCTGGCCACAAGGGCCAGGGATATATTTATACTTGCAACTTTGTGATCACTTAGGACAGATTCCTGGTTCTCTGCAGCCTCTGACCACTTGGCTGGAGTAATCATGTTTCCTTCCCTCCTGGTGACCCCTCTGCTAGATCCCTGCAGCCTCCGGGGAGAGGGTAGGCCAGACCCCAGACCAGGCAAATGTGAAGGCAGATGTGTCGCCTCCCGCAGTGACCATGTTGTAGAGCTTGGAGTCGGGGAGGAAATATATGCCCCCACCCAGCGTCCATCTGATGCCGATGCGATGCTGGGGGTTAGCATATCTGAGTCGGTAAGGAAAGAGAAAGGACAATGGGATGTTAACGTGGAAGAAGTGCGGCGGGTTCCAACACGTTGGACGACCGTGGCGTGGCCACCGTGCCATGCCACCCGTGGGCGCCGGGATGAGAGCGCGCGGGGTAGGGATGGCGGAAGGGATGTCACAGGGGAGGGGGACCATATCGAGCAAAAAGTAAGAGCTTCGCTAGAACAAGGAGTTAAGCGGACCATGTAGCACGAAGAGGCGCCGGATGCACACAGGAGGGAGTCGCCGCTGCCATGGATGGCGGGCGAGCTGTTTGAGCGCGGGAGGACCCGTGCGGCAGGGGGAGAGGCGAGGCCGGGTGGATCGCGTCATGGTCCGGGAGGCTGAGCCTGTGGGGCACCGGACGACTCGGGTGGCCCTGAGCGTGGCTTCAGTGCCTCTGTCTGCCGCGTGCGTACCCAAGCCTTTGTTTGCTCCTCTCTCAGGAACCGCGTTTCCAGGGCGCTTTTCCCCCAGCGAAATCTCCTTCAGGTTGCTGTTTAGGCTTCCCACTTCGAATGGCAGTTCACTTCTTGGCCCTTGCTGCTCCAGGACACACAGGGTTGAGCCCCTCCTCGCTGCCAGATCTTTTCTGGGTGCATAGAGTGCCCATTGCCTATTTATCTTTGGGGTGCAGCCACCCACAAGAAGCTCACCATCTTTTACAATCCTGCTTCCCAAGTATGGGCCACGGTGGCCAAGTGGCCCAGTAGCCTCTTTTACACCCTTGTGTGGGCTTCAGCTGCCTGTGGATCTCTGCTTGGCACCTACCCCTTAACTTGATTGTCCTTGAGGGCATTGGGCCCTTGTGTTCCAGCTGATCTCTTGGCCCTATGCCTTCCACCAGGTACTGCCTCTCCACCTTGCCTTGGATGTCCCTGGAATTCATGACCCATGGATAATGCATGGAAAAGTGAAGGGGATCTGGTATCAGTGGGCTGAGCTGTGGCCTTGATTGCTGCCCTTACATGTGGCTAGCATAGACATTTTTTCTGACTCATAGAGACTAGAACTGGAGCCCTACCTAAGGTTTAGGCTAGGACAGAGTTGCTTGGGGCTCCCTTTGTGGTGCATTCCTGAATTCCTTCTTCACAAAATAAGCATCTTCTGTCTTCCTTGACAGCTCATGGTGTATGTATGTGTGTGGGGGGTTACAATGAGAGCTGTACCTTGGGTGACAGACACTTGTAGGGAGAAGGTGATGGTACTGAGCTGTGGAGGAGCAAGCATTTTGAAGGAACACACCTAGGTACAAGAGGGAGTTTCTGTATGCTGCTTTAACTGCTGTCTGCCGGTTCCTGTGGGGCTGGCATTATGATGGAAGTTTCAGAGAAAGAACAGCTCTGGAGAGAAGTTTAAGAGTTCCAGGGGACCCTTTGCTGGGTTTTCCCTTTCCAAAGACAGGGCCCCTGGAGAAGTGGGTCTTGAAGGGATCCACTCTGCACACAGTTTCACCTGGGAGAAGCTGAAGCCTCAGGAAATGAGGCCAGCCATGGCAAGGGTGGCCCTACTCTGTGTCCCCACTCCCTTCTCCTGACCCCAGAAACAGCCTGGAGATTGGATAGGAGCCAAAGGCTCCAGAAGCTTCCTGTGGGGCTCTACTAAGCTAGTTCTTACTAAGGTATTTTTAAACATAATCTACTAGCAGATCCTCCTCACACAAGGATGGGAAGTTGATCCTAAGGGGGAGACTGTTTTCTGATCTGATCCCTGGGTCCACTTTGGAATCTTTCTGTCTATTGGTACAAGCCATTTTCCTCCTCTCAATTACTATCCTTCTTGAAGCTTGGATGACCTTTCTGATATTTTCATTAAAAATCAGCCTTTTTGAAAACAAATTCTAGATTCTATAAGAATATAAAAATTCCCAAATGTATACAGATGTATCTGTATCTAAGTATTGAGAACTTATTCCCTTTTTCTCTTTTAGTTTGATTTCTTTGTCTGACAAAGAAGTCATCATATGAAGGCTGCTGTGTCCAATTACAGCTTGTACAAATGCCTGTTTCATTTTTGTTGTCAAAAATCCAATCATATGTTGAAGGTACAGTACCCTAATTCCATGCCTGTTTCTTTTAACTCTGCACTTTGGTTCACACTAATCCATTATTTCACTCAGTCACACACTAAATACTTATCCAAAGCTACCGTCATGTGCCAAGTCTTGTCCTACCCAGGACACAGAATCTCAAGCCAAGTAGAAGAACCTATCCTGAGTTTGCCAGGGGATCTTATCCAAAGCTACCGTCATGTGCCAAGTCTTGTCCTACCCAGGACACAGAATCTCAAGCCAAATAGAAGAACCTATCCTGAGTTTGCCAAGTGGTGGGGAAGAAGGGACTGCTCCAAAATGGGTATGGTGTAAATGCTCAGTGTTACAAGTTGCCAATGGTCAACATGCCTGATGTACTCACTCTGTCTTTATCAGGCAGTTTCTGACTTTATTTCTTGTCATCTGCTGAGCCCTGGACTCTTTCTTGTTCACCCAGCTTCAAACTTCATTCCTGTGAGTGTTGCTGCTAAAAAATGGAGAGATCAGTTGTCCCAGAGTGATCCACCAAATCCATTGTGCTAGCCTAGGCCAGTATGAACTTCACTTAGCCTTCTGGAACAGATAACGCAGGTTGTCTGCTTCGGGCAGTCAGTGTCATTGCCCCAGTGTGACCTGGCTGGAGGGATGCGGCCCAGGGCAGTGCATGAGGCACACCTGTGGAAGAAGAATTTTGAGGATAAGTTCAGAAAACAACCCTAAGGGTGGATGGAAGCCATAAGTTCACCCAGATTGCTCTTTGTAATATTTATGTTTTACCGGTAAGCTGTGCTAAATGACACACAGACCTCTAGAAAAAGCAAAACAGGTTGATCAAGGAGGATACACAGACAGTAAGGAAAATAAGATAGGAAAGATTTGTAAATATGGAGTGCAGATGCCTTCAGACACAATTTACTGTATAATGCTCAAATATTCAAAACAGAAAATGCATGTCTGCAGGCACTGAGGATGTTAAGTTTGTTCACACCCATCACCCGCCACTCTTACTCTGTCTCCTAAGATGTGAGAACTGTGTGGCCAACACAGAAACAGGCTGAGATAAATATAATCCCTCTTAAAAGCAAATGTGTTTAACACTTAAAAGCTACACTAGACTTCACATTTCATATTTTTATGGGCTCCATGAAGCTGAGGATACTGAAGAAAACAAGACACTAGGTCGGTGGACAGCAGCTGACAGCTGGTAGGTGAGGACCTACCCAGGGTAAAGTTCGTGAGGCTGAGATGGTAACTGTTTCCCCAATGGACCTGAGGTACCAACATAGATGCCCTAGTGGATGACCAGCAAAGCAAGACTGAATTCCTGCCAGGCAGGGTGTGGGCAGTGTCATCAATTACCATGGTGGGGGCTGTCTTTTGGCTAGTTCATCAGTCCAAAGGGCAGAGCTATTTAAACTGGGTGGGATTAGTTAGATTATTAATATACTTTTATTTTGAAAAGAAAAACTATGGACAGAGATAGTTCCTAAGAGTTTAAATGAGAAGGAGTAGAATCATTGAAAGATTGTGTCTTCTGCAATCTCAAAGTGAAACTGGCTATAAGTAATTTTTGCACATAACCAACCCCTTTCCTGTCCCACTAGAGAAGCAGTGTGTTACAGTGGATAGTCTGCAATAGAAGCAAATATTTTGTTTCCTGTAAAGCAGGCTAAAAACTGTGTGGCGAATATTTCCTCAGTTAATGCATTGTGAATTCTTGTTTGTTTAAAAATGTCCCATGCAGTCTAAGGGGAGAAAAAATACTTTTCATGTAAAAGGAATTTTTCCCTTAAAAGGGAACTTGGTTGTCATTCAAAACATTTTAATTTCCTTTTGAAATATAAATGAAGCTCCTTCAGTTGATCTTTTCTCCATGTCTATTTAAAGGAAAACTCCCAGGGACAGAAGAATTCAGGATCTTGCAAAAAAGATACCAGGTGCGTGACATTCCTCTTTACCTATAGCACCTGCCACTTCTGGACTTGCCCAGCTCATTTACTGCCTTACTGTTTATTTCTCATCTTTCCACTGTAAAATGCAGGGCAGTGAGAGCCTGAGACCCAAGCTGTTTTGACTGTTATCTCAGACTATGACAGTGCCTGAGATATATGTAGAAGGTACTTATATATGAAGGTACCTACGTATGAGAGGAAATGTAAAGATGAAAACTGACCCAAAGAAAATGAAATGTACCTGGCAGAGGTTACTCTGGGGTGGAGGCGGAATGAAGGCCTTGTTGCTGGAGCTTAGAGTCAAGCAGAATGCTGGAATGTAATGGAGCCACAGAGGCAGATGGGCCAGAGCAGGGCTTTGTAAGTCAGAGGTAAAACTGCATTTTACTCCCTATATAGGGGCTGGGGGCAGGCGGCAGCTCTTGGAAGGTTCTGAACCTGGTGTGTGCTATGTTATTCTCTCCGAAACTCATCCTGTCCTGGAAATAGGGAGTCCACAGAAGCCACTACAGTTGTCAAGACAGGAAATGCAGGTGACACAGGCTAGGGTGATGAGGATAGCAGTGAGATGTGAGGGCACAGGAGATGTTCAGAGGCAGCAGGTGGACTGGACACATGGAGCAAAGGCGGGGAGGACTCCGTGTGCATGCCTGGATGTCTGCAGGAAAGACTCCTACCTGGTGGCGCTGTTTCCAGGGAGAGGGGCCTGCAGAAGAGTATGGGTGGCTCTAGGATCAGATTTGGGGGCTGGCAGTGAAAAGCCTGAATTGCCTGCCTACTGCACAGTGCCGGTACAGAAGAGGTGAAGTCAGTTAGAGATACAAAATCTAGAAACCAGCAGACTGACCAGACTGGAGAGCAAAGACTATAATACCGGTGTTTAAAGTCATAGGACCGGATACCCACAGGGAGGCTATGTAGATGCTTCATGTGAACTTTGTACATCCCGATCGACTCACAGGTAGAGTTGGTGGTTGAACAATACCTTGGTGCAACGTAAGGGCTCCACCGAAGCTCGAGGAATGAAAGGACAGCCCTCCAGAAGGCTGTGGTGTGAATGGAATTACAAATAGAGATTTGTGACTCTTTAGCACCAAGATAATAGTGGAAAATGGAAATCGGAAATGAACAGTGGAAGTGAGACGAGGGCAAAGAAGGACAGACGTGGTAGAAGAAGGGAGAAGAACTGGGAATGCCCTGAATAGGAGAGGTCTGAGCAGGAGGAGGTGACATGGAACAGAATTTGCCATGGATCTCAAAGGAGGAACCTCAAGATGGAAGAGGCCAGGTGCCCCAGAGGTCAAGTAAGTTTCAGCAGCTGCTGTGTCTCTAGTGGCCATAGTCCAGAGATTGAGAGTGGAGTGGCAGCTATGGAAAACCCTTTCAGTTGTTGGCCGGATCCGTGGTAGGTGAACTTGTCCTGGGCAGTTTCAGTCTTTGGTGAAGGAAAGATGGGAGAAAACCCCATAGCTGCTGGTGGACGGTGCTGATTTCTTCCCCGTGGAGGCCAGCCTTGAGAATGATTATTTGCTGATGAAGAGGAATTGGAACAAGGGGCTGGGATTCAGAAAATGTGAAGTAGGATGATGGGGTGGTGGTGGTTGGGCTTCTGCACAAAGTGACTGGGAGGCGAGCACCTGGCAGATCAGGGGTGGATGTCTTCCTTATGGAGGTCATCTGCATTTTTTATTGAGGGAAGTGGTAGGTTCCAGGAGCACAGTGCTGGTAGATGATGCAATGCATAAGTAAGTATTGAGTATCTACTATGCACCAGTTACTGCTCAGTTATGACAATAAATATGTCAGGAGCGGGCTGTTCCTTGCTTGCAAAGTTGCCATCTGATGTATCCAGATAAGGCACAAAGTAGTGAGGCGAAATCTTAATGAATGACTGTTGAAAGAAGGGTCAGAAGTGGGACAGAGCATACCTTAGTGGCATTCCATTGCCCACAGGGTCTTTTGAGCTCCTTAACATGCTCCTGTAGAGCTTGTGCGTTTGCCCTCTGCCGCCTACTCTCTTTGTATCATGCTGCTTGTAGTTGGTAAACTTCTGTCCTGGGTCACCCTGTCTCCTCTGATGGGATCCTCCCTCTGGTCAGCTGCCCATCTTGGACTCCCATCCTCCCCAGGATTTGTCCTTTTCCTCTCATCTGCATTTTCACATGACCTGGTGCTCAAGAGTGTTTGCTTTTGTGTCCACATTGTAGTGGCCATTGTGTTCCTTGTAGGGCATGTTTTATTCATTTTCTTCACCTCAGTGCTACATACTACCAAGCACATGATGTCTAATAAGTGAAATGTGTAAGTGAAGGTATCAGAGTGGGAGAGGATAAGCGAAATGTTCTTTAGAAATCTTAATTTTCCCGAGGAAAGAGAAAATGAAATAAAGAGGTTGTAGAATTTTGCTGGTATGAAGCTTCTTTTGAGTCATTGTTTTTTTTTCCCTGTGTAATTTGAATACACTCTTTGGCACCCATGCCCAATCTTCTGCGTCACAGTGCACACAATAATTCACATGCAGTGAGATCAACGGGAGCTGCAGCCCAAGTCCAGAGGAAGGAGAGAGATGCCTAGTAGACATTTGCAAAACCTCAGCTTTCTTTCCTGAGGCTGCGATAAAAAGCTTTTAACTTTGACAAACACATTTTCTGCATAGCAAAGACAAAGTGTTGCATATAAAGTGCTGAAACAATGCCACATGTTGGGATATGATGAATTATTTATAAAAATACTTGCGTATTTGGACTTTTTAAAGTTGGCAAGTACTGTGCAAGAAGCAGTTTTGCATGAAGAACAGTTCCCTTTGATGAAAAAGTGAAAAAGAGAAGAAAAGGTGATTTGCAGGCCAGGAGAGTGAAGGTCAGTGATGTGAAATCCAAGCTGGGCTATTTGTATATAATGTATTCTATGTTTTAGCTCCTTCTAAGATAAAATCTAAAATGATTTCTGAAAGGACTGGACTGCTGTTTTTCCTGGATTTGGTACTTGTTTATGTTCTGTTGTACTCAGGGTTACATTTTGGGTTTATCTTTTATCCCAGGATCAGAAGTTAACTTCCAAAAATATTCATATTCATATGAAATCTAATCAGTCTTCATGTCTTTTAGGATAATACTCTTTGTGTCTCATGATTAAATATATCATCTAATTTTTAAGGCAGTTGTAAGATTTCGATTTCGATAGTGAGGACAGGGCCGGGATTTAGCTCAGTAGCACCTTGCCTGCCTTGCAAGTACAAGGTCCTGAGTTTGATCCCCAGTACCAAAAAAAAAAAAAAAAAAAAAAAAATTAGGACACCATCATGTTGACATGTAGGTGGGTAGACAAACTAAACAAGCAGAATTGGAAAGGTTTAAAGACCTAAACACTTGCCGTAATCTAGTATATTGTGAGTGTCTTCAAATATGTAGAAGAAAAGATAGTTGCATAGATGCTTTGGGGAAAGTACATATTCATCCAGAAAAAATGAAATCATTCAAAGTGGATCATATATTTAAATATTAAAAAGGAAGCTATAAAAAGAGAAGAAAAAAAAAAGGAATTTTCTTTCTAGCCTTGGGGTGGAGAGAACTTATTTTAAGTGTGACTCAAAATCTAGAAGTAACTGAAGAAAGGATTAACATTAAAAAACAAAACTAAACTCCTGTGTATGACCCCCAAATACTGTAAAGGAAGTCCTGAGTATTTCTGCAAACAAACCCCTGCTTTTCTGATTCTCTCTCACCACCTGTGGTGGTCTAAGAATCAGAAGCACCAAACTGCTGTTCTGGGCACTAGTGATGACATTTGGGACTCACTAGATACATTTTTACCTGTCGGTTTTGTAATCATTTATAAGCTTTATAACACAATTAGCAATTTTATGAGGAAGCAGGTACTCATGCATTGCTGGTAGGAGTATCAGTTGATACGGTCTTTGAAGGAGACAATTTGGCAGTATTGATTAATATTAAAAATGCACGTGTTCATTAAACCAATAATTCTACATCTGGGAATTTATCATTCAGTTGTAATCACACATGGGCAAAATGACTTAAGAAGAAATCATATATAGTGTAGCATTGTTTGAAATAGAACCTTGGAAACTGCATAAATATCTACCAGCAGGGGCCTGGTTAAATAACACTGGAGGCAGTCAAAATGAATGCACTAAAATTCCTTGATAGATTGTTAGGTGAAAGAAGCAGAGAGTAAAAAATGTTTAAACACTTGTACTCATGCATATATTTGCACACACACATCTTTTGTTGGAAAGGACTATACAAATATATATTTGGGTCTGTTTGTAATTGTTCGAAGGAAGTGGGACGAAGCACAAAAAAATCTTAATGACATTGGGTAGTGTGAGGCACCAAAAGAGTTGGAGAAAGATTTTTCAAAGTATACTGTTTTATTCTTTTAAAAAATTTGAATACTATCTGTTACTGCCTATTCAGAAATTACATTTAAAAATAAGTGAGAATTTTTTGAAATACCATTTAATTGGCATATGAGTTGCTTATTTTGTTGTCGATAGGATCTTTTTGTTGTATTTTACTGTCTCCTGAGATCCTTGTTTTATTTGTCAGCTCCTAAAGTTTGTTCGGTTGTTTTTTGCCTTCCTCTAGCTTTCCACTTACGTCTCCTACACACGATCCCCAAATGTCAAGCCATGAATATTAAAAATATTGCGTGCATCAATATCCCTCACCGCTCTTCTATCAGCTCCTTTTCTGCATCATGCACAGATTTGAAAGTGAAAAAAAAATCACTTCTATTTTAATGTAATTTCTGACTCTGGTAGAGTCAATTATTCATATGTAAGATATGAACTATTGTTTAAACTGTTGGCGACCTGCCCAGCCATCTTCATCTGGTAGAAATCACTACATTTTGGCAGGAAACTCAATGTCTTCATTGTGAGGATGTAAGCTTTACATTCTAGTACTTCTCAAGTGAGTGAAAGTGTACCCTTGGGTGGTATTGCCACTTAGATACACTAGATGGGGGTCCTGACAGTTTAGTATATAAACAATCTTCATGTGACAGTGACTTGATTACTAGTTTAGAGCAGGGACAGTGGGAACTTGCACTGTCACTGCCCCTCAGCAGGCGTTGCGGAGCTGGGGTGGGGACTTTCTGTGGGGAGGTACTGGCACCCAAATGGACTGCCTGACAGCTCTCTCTCCAAGCAGGATGAATGCCTTCCCTCTGGCAACACCTGAATTATTCAGACCCTCGTCTTTGGTCTCAGTTCTGGTTCTGTTTTTGTGTTAAAGTTAATATAGATGTGGTGAGTATCTGAGTGGGCTCCTTTCCTTTTTCATTCCCCTTCGTTTGGGTATTAGCCCTGCTTATTTATTTTCCTGTGTCCTGCTTACAATGTTGACATTCTTCTCTGTCTTATCACTTAATATTATTTCCTTCTAGTCCACCCATTGGTTTTATTTTAGCTGCTGCTTCCTTCCTAGTTACTGGATTTTGTGAGAACGCTTCCTAACCTTAGAGTCAGCCTGCTGTAACCTGTGGAGGCTTTTTCTGAAGACTTTGCATTGATTTTTTTGAGGGTTCATGCAGCAGTCCTTTCTGAGAACCCCAAGTCTTAGGGCGTCAGAAACTTGTCAGTTTGTGTACTGTTGAGCCTCTTTCTCTAGGGCACTCTGCTTTCAGATGACTGTGTTTCTGAAGCCTTGATTCTGGCTGCTCTTTTTTCTTTCTTGGTGCACAGTATGGGCAGGCGGTGGGGAGAAAGTGGCATCAGTCCTTTCACCTGGCTGTGAATCCTTCAAGAGACTCAGCAGGACACCTTATGTTAGAGATCATTCTTTTTGTATAACATTAGTGCCCTAGTTTGATTCATTTTTCCTAAGACCTAGCTGAATCTGAGAGTTTCGGCACTTTCTTTGTTCTGTAACTGTTCTGTTCTGTTTTGTCAAATAGGCCATTATTAGGAAACCTATCAATTTTTTAAACTTAGTTTTGAATTTTTTGTTTTTGTTTTCTGTTGGTGCATTTTAAAATGTATCTGGCTTATGTTTGAGATTTAGAGTTGTTATGACCTCTTGCATCAGGGTTACAGTTTGGTGGGAAATGCCATTGATAGCTGACAGAATAAGGTCATCAGTCCCAGGCTTGCAGCTGAGTTCATTTCACCTTGGATGCATGTATTAATTACATAGTGGTCAGCCTTAGAGAGGGATGTGCGCATAGAAGGAGACACAGTTGACTTTCATTCATTCATTTCCTTCCTGTTGATGCACCGTTGCTCCTTGTCAGTGTTTACCCTGTGCTTTGTGATTAGCAACTTCTCTGTAAGAAAAGGGAC